GCAGTCAATAAAAATGTTGAATAGCAGCTGGAGTATTTGTTTGCCCTAAAGCCAACTTACTCCCGAGAGTTAAAGGAGAGAACAGCCAGGGCTGAAACGAAGGGCAATCCTCGCTGTGGGGCTTAAACAGAAGAACAAAACAGGCATTCAGTGCATTCGCCCTTAATAACGGAAGGTCTTTCGGAAGCCCTCTGATTCTCTGTGTATTGATGCTTGCACACCAGAAAGAAAAGTGAGTTGTGTTACCTCGTGCCCCAAGTGCACAGCACCCTGGCTGCGTTGCCAACAGCTCTCTTCCCCCTGCCCACCGCCATCCCCCTAGCTGTACTCCCCCGTCCCAAAAACGGCTTCAAGACCACCTTCCTTGGTGCTCTTCAGCCTCCAGGAAAGCGCTGGATTGATAGACAGGCAGGCAGGCAGGCAGGCAGGCAGGCAAATCATGCCAGCAGGTTGCTGGATTAGGGACTGCCCGAAAATTTTGCACAACTGTGATTGTCCCAAGCAGCTCAGGTGGTGGCAGCGAAATTGCGAAGCGTGTAGGTTTTGGAGGGTTGTTCCCCTAAACTTCAGTCCTCAGAGTCTCGATTCTGCGCATGGGGCTGGGGGCAGAGAGAAACTGGTGCAGTGGGAGATCAGCACGTCCTGCAACCTCTAAAGAGTGTAGGAAAAAAAAGGTGTGGTTCATTTGTTCCTGTCTGTTCTGGTCTACATCAGAACAAGGGCTTGCTTAGAATTTCATTTGAAGGTCTGATGGAAACCCATGTGGAGAATAGCTCTGCTGAAACCCATCAAAATTCCACGAGAACGTGCAGTGTTTTGCGTTCTCTAGAAGTCTTCATCAGACTCTGTGATAAGGAGCAAGGGGACGGGGTGGAGGCATATAAAAATATGAAGTTTTGGCAGATACTGCGGCCGTGCTGTCTGCTGTTTGGAGATAGACCCTGGAGAAGAGTTCTGGAGAACTCTGAAGCTTGTAATCGTTGTGGACTTTGGTTGTTTTTAAAGGCCTGCTTCCTCTTCTGCCTTTGAATTTCCCTGGCATGGTTGCCTTCTCCATGGGTCGAGCCTCCCCGTGATGTGCCCAAATTATGACAACTTCAGTTTCATCATTTTTGCTTCCAGGGAAATCTGGCTTGATTTGATCCAGGACTTGCTTGTTTGTCTTTCTGTGGGTCTGGGGTATTCACAAAGTTCTCCTCCAATACCATGTTTCAGCTCCACCCATTTTCTTCCTGACAGTTTTCTTCACTGCCAGCTTTCACACCCATATATATAATTCTTAATACATTATTACGCTCTCAAGCCCTCATCACGTGACCAAGGGGGTATGGGGAAAGTTCCCCTAACCCTTTTCTCTTGGTAGGTGTCTTAGAAGTCCAAGGGGAATAGCTGAATTGAAGGATTAGTTCCTTTCTGCAAGTAGGTAATAGGAGAGAGAGGAAAAGACTCCTTTGTCCATTGTAACCACTGCATTGGGAATATTGTGTTGTCCCTTTTGAGATAAGCCATTAAAGGGAGTCAAAGAGCTCTTTAACTTTCTGTCTTTTCTTTTGTTTCATTTCCTTTCTTTGAAGAAAGCGCTGCAGCGCTTGAAATCTCTTCCAGCAGCTATTGCAAAAATGGAAAACAAAACCCCTTCTAGAATAGGAGTTGTCGAAGACATCGCTTTTAATACCAGCTGCTGCAATTCCTCACTTGCCAGATGTTTTCATCCTGCCGCCAAGCCTTTATTCCTTTCCAGGTTGCAAACAGAGTCCAAGCACAGTGTCTGAGAATCATACCTGTGGAATGCCAAAAACTTTCTTCTCGGTGCTTCTTGGGGGTACCTCTTCCCCAGACCGCATGCCGAAATTCTGAGCCGAAATGTGTTTGGGAGTTTAGTGGGAAAGCGGTTCAAAGGGGAATTCAGGGAGGTGAGGAGAGAGCAATGCATGCCACAGGGGTGGTATTCCTTCAAGCCATTCCAGTGTCGTGTAACCTCCTGGCCTTAGAGGTTCAGATAATAAATACCCCCAGTTCATAGCCTCTTCTGTGCAGAACCTACACCAAGATCCTGGGGTCAATGCATGCCTGAATGGCCGTATTTGAGTCTTGGGTTGTTAAATAAGATTTTGAAACTGTCTTTCCTCCAAGGACCTCAGCTTCTGCCTGTCCTGAAGACCACCCTGAGGTGTATGTTAGGCTGAGACAGTGAATGGACTGAGGCCGCCTGCTGAGTCCTAGTAGGGATTTGAACACTGAACCCCTGCCCTCCGTCCCACTGAATTCCACCACTCATTTCGGCCACTAGTTGGGCTTGGATATCGTAGTCTCTGATAATCACAGGGCATGATGGGGTGCGTTGCGGTTTTGTGTGGTTGCTTTCTTTCCTTGCAATCATTACTGTGCATGTGGATTGTGGCCATAAATGGGCATCAGTTACTACTTCAAAGGAGCGATCCAGTGTTCCCCAGAATCATTTGGATTCCCAGCTTCAGCCTCTTCTAGCTGGCATGGAAAGAACAGTGTTGGATGCTCTCCAAGGTTGGGAAAGTGACCTTGCAGGGGGCTGTTCTGGGGGAGAAGAAGAGTGTGGGGTGGTCTTCAACCTCATTTCCATCCCCCTTGAGACATCCCAGTTAGATGGACAAGAATCTCTGTCTACTGAAAACATAGAAACAGAGCGAGTCAAAATGGGGCCTCCCGGGCCATCTAGTCTGACCTCCGGCTCTAGCAAGCTGAAAAGGCAAGCTCTGAGTTGGGAACTTATGAGTTATCCCAATAGGATCGTTCCCTTAGCCGGTGAGCTGCAAGCAAGATGTGAAACAAGCAGGGTGGATAAAAGTCAATGGATTTAAAAAAAAACCAATAGGATTTTAAAATTTAAAATGGATTGTTTATTTAAATTGGATTTTTTAAGAAAATGCTTTTTTGAGGAAAAATTATCTAAAGATAGTTGTGTATTTAAGATACATTATAGTCCATTTATGTAGCATGAAGCTGTATATTCATGCAATGTTTAAATTTGTTGGTAAAGGAATTCCCATTAATCTATTCATAATGCCATGATCTTCCAGAAGTTTCTGGGATTTCTGAGATTACTGGGCAACTTTTCTCTCTGGAAGGTATTATCACAAATTTTTGGTTTTACAGTTCTCAAAACTGAATTTTTATCTGCAGAGATCACATGCCTCTTCTTCACAGTCAAACTGTTTTAAAATAAACACACAGACTTGAGAAAAAGAGCTTAATCCTATTGTTCTTTTGCTAATCTATGTACACAGACTCAACCCATTACTTCTTAAGTGCTAAGTTTCTTTTTTTTTAAATCAATGAATAGAAGAAGATGGTGGGGAGTGGAATATAACTGCACAAGAAGCTAAGTGTAAAGAGGGAGGGGAAGTGGTAAAAATGATAGTGGACCTTTTTGAGCAGAATATGCCTCAAATCTTTGGATCTTTTTGTGTATAGCCTGAGGTTTATCATATTATTCTTTCCCTGGAGAAGAAAACCTCTAATGGTAAAAGAGACCCAGTTTAGGGATATTTTAATGAAGTTCCTCTACCTTGGGTAAAGCAGGCATGCTTGCAAATTGCATAGAAAACCATGATTTAAAGCTAGGGTTACTGACCAGTGATTTAAATCAAATCCACCCTGGAAACAAACCTGAAAAAATCAGGAAAAATACTTTTCTCCCTAGCCTTCATTTTTTAAAGGAAATTTTACATCTCTTGTGGTTACCCATTACCGGCCTGATGAAAAACGTAACATGACAGAGGTTTTTTCCCCTCATCTTCTTGTGAGTCATCTGGAACTCCCACATTTGAAGGGATGACTTGGGTTGATATGTGGTCAGCTTAGCAGCTATTAGGATTCATGGTGGGGCGGAGCCGGGGGTCAGACTAGATGGCCCGGGAGGCCCCTTCTGACTTGCTCTGTTTCTCTGTTTCTATGACTGGAGTTATTAGGAGGCATGATGAGTAAACCTTTATGAAAAGTGCTGTTGAAAGCATTATAGGATGCCCAATTCCAGTCCTACTTTACTGCAATAATCCTTACAACAACCCTGTAAGGTAGGTCAGTGTTGTCACCTTATTGCTGATGCGCTTGGCATATGCAAAGTGGTTTGGCGAAGGTCACCTGTGGAATGATGGTGGTGGTGAGATTCAGTCAGGTGACTTGCTCACCTGCTGCTTGCTCGCTCACCAGCACTCAGATCTTCCTCATTTGAGATACGGTTTGAGCATGAGTTGGCTGCTCTTGAAAGGTGAGTCATCATGTTCTCTAAACCCAGCCATGACAATAATGAGCAACCCACACTTGACAACTCAACAGCGAAGCATGGGTTCTCTTCATGGACCCATTCCTGGTCAAGAAACCATGGTTTGTTTGCACAACAGGGTTCAGACAACACAGTCGCCCATGTTTAAGCAACAGACCATGGTTCAGTAGCAGCTCACACTCATCCCTTGTGTATGAGTTGCCTGAATCCAGATAATGTCTTGGAGATCTTGCAAATCTTCTTTTCATCTGTGCCTGCCTTTTTCACTTTTGTCGGCTTTGAAGGGCCAATTAGAACCTAATAGCCTTATAAAAACCTGTTTATGGTGGACATAAAACAGCTAGAACTGTTTCATTGATGTGGATCAACCCAACTGCCTGCATTTTTTGCTTGTCGGCGGGTTGTGATTTTGGTGACTCTCATGGCGAATGACTATACCTCAACCTTTCCCACTGCACCATCGACTTTGGAGTTCATGAGTCTTTCTTGGGGCAGATGTACTCAAGACGGCATTGCAGATTGCAAAAAAGGGTAAATTTATCTGCTAAATATGTCTTACTTGTTAATAGTCTTAATACACTATTGTTAACAGTAGTAATTAATAGCACACAGATCCCTTTGCAAGTTGTACTTTAACGCACCAAGAAGGTTTAGAGGTTTCTTGTTTGTGCAAAGGTTTTGAATAAGCCCATAATATGAATTGTAGAGTCAATAATGGCTTCTTGTTGTTATAATTTAGCATGCACATGAAGAGAAAGAAGCTGGAAAAAATCCCCATTTCTTCGACATCCCTGTGTTTCTCACTGTCTCTGGACAACTGCATTTGGAAGTGATGGCCGGGTATGGACTGCATTCGTTTAATTCATTTGAGATGAGTCTAATGCATTGGGTCCCATGGTAGCTGTGAGGCCGAAGGGATGGAAATGTGCTGGAAGCTCCATCACAGGTAGAATCACGTTGGGGACGGGGTGGCAGGTAAAGAGACCAGCAGGAAGATGTGAGCCAGGTGGGCTGTTGGAAAGGAACCATGAAGGACCTTCTGAGAACCTTGGAAGAGTCCTGCTGGATCAGACCACGCTCTTCACGTATTGGCCAGTCAGTTTTCCATGGGATTTCACAAGCAGAATCCTCCCACCCATGTTCCCCAGCAGCTGGGGTGCATCAGCATACTGGCTAAAGAAGCCGAAAAAATACCTGCACCAGCTTTCCACCATCTGCCGTCCTCCAGATGGGTTGGACGATAACTAGCAGCATGATTGAGTATTGGCCATGCTGGCTGGGGCTGATGGGAGTTGAAATCCAAAACATCCAGAAGGGCAGATGTGGTGCTGTTTGGGGGTCTCCACCCACCCTGCTTTCACCACCCCACTACCCCCCCCCCCATATTTCAATCTATGCTGGCAGGATTGACAGCTGGGCGGGACTTCCGAATGCTTGATCTGTGCCGACACACAAGCTCACAGTGGTATCTAAATTGTGTCTTTTTCTCCAAAACTTCCCATCTTTGTTCCCCTTTTCTGCTTTATTCTTCTGGAGAAGTCAAAAGCTTGCATACTCTTTTGTAGCATAAAGGTGTATTTCCCAGCTGTAGATTTTGGATAGTTTTCAAAACAGTTATTCTTGTGATGTCATTGGTTTTTATATTTTTCCTTTTATCGGCCAATAAAATAAACACCCAGGCCTCCTAGCTTACAGGACGTAGTGTTACTGTTTTATGCTCTGCTCTTTAGCAACATGTTCTTATTTATTAAAAAAAGATAATAAAAATCAGGCATTTTAAGTGGATCAAATGTAGACTAAATTTAGACACACTATATTTATCTTGAAGAGAAATGCTTCATTTGTGAGCCAAAACGGCATTCCAAACACACAGCCTTCAAAAGGCCCGGACAGCCAGCTGTTACGCAGTTTACAAGGAAGCAAGGTGGGCTGCTTCCGGCAGTACTTTCTTTAAAATTAGTAATAACAACTCAGGTCTTAAAATACATATTTTGAGTGGAGGTTAACTACCATTTTTATAGCCATATTATGTAATCAGGTTGCTAAAGGCCCTTGACAAGTAATAAATCCGTGTGAAGAAGGCAATGATTGCATGCAAGTTTAATTCTAAGTTGATGCACAAAACATCCCACACTTTACAAAACAAGTCGCAAATGCAAAATAAATTATGTCGTTTGTGAATGGCGTGGTGCTGGCACATTCATGGATTTCTGCATCATTTTTTCTCCCTGGATTCACAAGGGTGGACATCTTGGGACCCTTCAGATCTTTTGGGCTACTACTTCCATTATCCCTTACCATTGGCTGGGACAGATGGGGGTCACTTATGGAATGCGCTCCCGAGAGAGGTCCGCCTGGCGCCATCATTATTTGCTTTTCAGCGCCAGGCCAAGACCTTTTTATTTAAACATTATTTTAATTGTTAAGGTGTTTTATTGATTTTAAATTTGCCAGATGGTTTCCACTATTCTATGTATTTTATGTACTTATATGCTGTTTTTATTTATGATTGTAAGCCGCCCCGAGGCTTATGCGAAGGGGGCGGCATATAAGTTGTTTAAATAAATAAATAATAAGCCAAAATATTTGGAGGGTCACCTTGCCCTCAAGAGTGCAAGATTCAGGGCTTTTTTTGGTCATAGAACGCACCAGAACGGCGTTCCGGCACCTTTTTTTCCAATGGATTTTACGAAGTGATTTGGAATCGCCTGTCGGCTAGCAGGTCAGCAGCAAACATCATTAACATAGTGCCTGAGGGCTGCTTTTGTGTCCGCGCTGCCCGGCTTGGGACATGCTCGGCTTGGGATTGGTGTGTGTGGTCACGCGCTGAGTGCTTACTGCCAGAGGCGACATGAGTTCCGGCACCGGCAAGATTTGTTTGTGCTTCGGATTGGCCCTGCTGGGTTTTAAGAGTTTCTTGAGCTCGGGGCACAGTGTCTCCAAGGAGTGGCCATCTTGTTGCAAGACGTCTGTAGATTAGCTTGCTTTTGTTCGTTCACGGCTTCGACGAACCACTTTAAAGAAAGCCCTCGCTGTTCGAGAGGAAAGCTCTTTTCCCCTGTTCTACCTTGCAGCTTGACATAATAGAAAACGATGGTGCTTGTAGGACACATGCAAGCAAATTGCTTAAAGGTGCAGTTCAATGCATGTAGAGTTGGCTGGGGATGATGGGAGTTGTAGGAGTGTGTTCTGGCTCAGCATGCCTGGGATTGCACTCTTATGGACTTTTCCCTGATCAAACACCACAGAGAATACTTTGGTATGATTTCTAAGGCAATATTTCATCCGTGGAATCGGTTGGCTGTTGTTGGTATAATTATTATATTGTTTTATATCCCAGTGACTGGAACTCAAGGCAGCTCACAAAACTGAACACTAAAAACACTACAAGTGATATAAAGAGTAAAACTAGTCCAGCTCAAACTCAGAAGCCTGGACCATTTCCAAATACCTGCTAGAAAAAAGTGTTTGCCTGCTTTTGGAAACCAAACAGAGAAGGTGGCAACCTAGCCTCCCTAGGAAGGGAATTCCAAAGGGAAGGGAATTCCAGTTCACATGCTCAGTTTTGATGAGAAAGATTGGGCCGGAGGCGGGAAATTCCAGTTCAAGATCCCTGGCTCAGCCATGCAGCTTTATGGCTTCTGGTGGACCAGTTGCACTGCCCAACTGGCCGCACTGGTTAATGTGAGAATAAATGAGAGAGGGAAGAACAAGAAGTGTTGCCTGGATACAGGTGTAATATTGTTGATTCCCCAAGCAAACACAATAGGTTTCAGACCAGGCATTTCGCCCCTTTTAAAAACAGGGTGGGCAAAACCAAGGAAGCATCCAATAATCCGTGGGTGGTGTTTGGTGAAAGGGAAAGGATCGTATGGTGAAACCCAGATCTGGTTTCTGTACCTGCGTTTCTGAAATGGCCCCCGCTCGGGGACTCCGTGAAAGAGCCCATGGCCGGTGCAGAGGGTCCCTGGTTCAGTCCTGGCCATCCCGATGCAGGACTGGGAAAAACTTGTCTGCAACTCTGGAGGGCACAAGGGTGGGTTTCGGTGGACCAAGAGACTGACACCGTATCAAAGCCATCCATTGTTCCTAATATCATTTTTATTATATTCTTATGTACCATCAAATTGTCTCTGATCTATGCTGGCCCTGTGAATGAGCATCCTCCAAAATATTCTGTCCTTCACAGCCCTGCTTAGCTCTTGTAAACTCAGATTCTGGCTTCCTCCCTCTTCTTCCGCCTTTGATCTTCCCTAGCCTGCTTCTCTTCTCCAGGGAGTTCTGCCTTCCCATGAAGTGTCCGAAGTATGGCAGTTTCAGCCTCATCATTTTTGTTTCCAGCTTGATTTGATCTGAGCCCTATTTGTTCATCTTATTGTCCATCCAGAGTCCTAGCAAAGCTCTCCTCCAGCACGAAACATGGCCATTTTCTTCCTCTCAGCTCTCTCCCCTACACAGGGAGAAGGAATACGATTGTGTGGAGGACCGCACCCTTGGTCTTCAACGAAATGCCCTTTCACTTGACCATCTTTTCTGTTTCCTTCGGCTGCCCTGCCAAGCCTCAGCCGTCTTCCATTTCCTTGGCTGCAGCCTCCCTTTGAACTGATGGCTGAGCCAAGGGATGCAAGATCGTCCACAACTTTGATTTCTTCACTTTTCAACGTGAAAGTTGGGTAATCTTCTGCAGTCACGATTTGTTTTCTTCATATTCAGCCGCAGTCCTGCATTTGCACTTTCTTCTTTTACTTTCATCCAAGGTCATTTCAGTTCATTTCTGCTTTCTGCCAGTGTTGTGTTTATTGTCTGCATATCCTAAATTACTGATGTGTCTGTCAACACTTTGCTCTCCTTCCATTGATTCTAATCAACCTTTCTCAGGGCATGTTCTGCCTATAGGGAGGTAAAGTACACCCTTGTCCGACACCTTTGCCTATGGGAAACCCTTCAGTTTCTCCATATCCTGCCCTAAGTGTACTTCTTGTCCGTGATGCATGTTACACATCAGGAAAATCAAGTGCGGAGGCATGCCCTTTTCTTTCAGGACCACGCATCGCTTCTCATGATCTACATAGTCCAAAGCTTTGCCATGCACTATAAGGCAGTGATGACGAGCCTTTTAGAGACCGAGTGCCCAAACTGCAACCCAAAACCCACTTATTTATCGCAAAGTGCCAACACTGCAATAAAACCTGAATACTGAGGTTTTAGTTTTGAAAAAACAACTCCCAGCCAGTGCAAGCAAATATGTATATCCTTGGCAGCTCACTGACCGGCCATGCAAAAGCTCGGACGAGTTGCGGCTAATGAGTCGCGGCTCGTGGCATCATCTCCTGGCACCGCTACTCCTTTCCGAGCAGGCGCATGGCCCCTCTGTGCACTGTTATCCGATGCGCGGCTGCTGGGGTGATGCTGGGGCGACTTGGCTCATGTGCTGACAGAGAGGGCTCTGCATGCCATAGCTTTGCCGCCACTGCTATAAGGCATCGACTGGTCTTCTGTAGTCGTTTGGTGCACCTCAGTAGCTAGCATATTCCGAAAATGAAATGTGGAAGCTCTTTTCCTGCTGGACTCTAGTCAGGCCTATGTGGAACCACCAGGAGTGTCCTGATGACCCCAGTAACTAGGCAGGAGAAAGTGCTTTCAGGTATCCCGGTTTTACGCTATTTGCGGCTGATTATAGGCTACATCCCAGTTGGTTTATGTAGCCTGTTAACTGAACCTTTCAAATCAAGTGCATAACAAAGACTGACATTCTGCCTATTTAAAGCATTTATATCCTACGCCATGTTTAGACAGATTCCAGAGAGGTGGATACTAAAAGAGATAAAGCAGAATAAAGTGCATTAGAAACAGATAACTTTCAAACCATGGCTGGTCAGCAAGAAAGGCTTCCTAGAACAAAGATGGCTTCAACAGGTGCTGAAAGTAGGAGAGGGCTGGTGCCAAGAGGCAGGGAGTTTCACAGAAAGGGGCCACCACACTGAAGGCCCTTCTGATGGATGCCAGTCAGGCCATAGGTTTAGCTGGCACCTCCAGGAGAATGTCCCTTAGGACCAAGCAGATCAGTGACAATATCCTGGGTTTAAGTTGTTGAAAGCTTTGCACACGAGCACAAAATGTTCAGCTCAGCTTGGTAACATTAAAAAACACAAGTTCTACATTCCATGCAGTGCTGGCTTCTACTTGCAGAAAGCTTCAGTTTTGGGTTTGTTTTTTTGCAACAGAGCATCTGGATTTACGAGTCGCCCCCTTTCCTGATCCGTAGATTGAAGTGTTGCAGCCCATTCCTCCAGCTCTGGTCACTGAGGCCCCTGTTCCCCTCCCTGTGCATGCTCAAATTCACCCTTGAAGACTGCACAAAATCCTTGGCAATGCATTTGGGTTCCTTGGCAGACAGATCCATGTAGAACAGCTCATTACACATCGCTCATTTGAGTGGCTTAATAAGATTGCTGCTGCTTTTTAATTAAGATCAGCAAGGCCAGTCTGCTTTGTCCTCTCATGGAAAATTCCATTTTGCTAAGGACATGGGAAATAGGACTTTAAGTGTGTGTGTGAGGGTGTTTTTGCTTAAGACTGGAAAGGTCACAGCTGTGATCTTGAGGAGTATTTTTGGCAAAGAGGAGTTAGAAAACCTCTGAGCGTAAGATGCTGCTGCCTGAATGCCCCCTTCCCCAAATTCTTTTCTACATTTTCTTATCTGTAAAATACAGGTACAGCGATCTTTTCAGGCATAATTACTGTTTGCAAATTGTTTGCAGCTTCAAGGTTGGGAGCTAAGCCTTTAACAATGCAGTGTGGGTTGTTGAAGGGTTACCTAAATCTGTACCAGTCTAGCCTGGCGAGCAAGTTGGTTGGGGCACAAGATTTACTGGTTTTTACTACCTCTGCTCTTTGTTGTTTTGCCTTCAAGGTGGCTTGGCACCTGGACAAAACCTGGGTCTAAACAGAGCCATAATTTACTGCCCTTCTTTTGCTTGGGTGCCAACCAAGAAAATACGTTGTTGGTGTGGTTTGGGGAACCAGATTTGGTTCCGTGTGCTCAGTCCCATGTCCTCTATAAGCTGGAGTGGGCAGGACAGACCTACATTTATTTATTTCATTTTTATGCCATCCCAATAAAAAATGGGCAGTTAGCAAAAGTTAAGACAAAATTAAAACCACACGCGCATACAAGATCAAATCAACTTAAAACAACAATAGCAATCGCAGCTGAACTGGCACGGAAGCATAATAGCAGGACAAATAAAATGCAATATTTAAAATGAATTTTAAAAACTAAACTGTTAAAACGCTGGAAGAATAAAAAGGTCTTCACCTGGCACCAAAGAGAATACAAAGAAGGCACCAGGCTCACCTCTTTGGGGAGCTCATTCAATAACTGGGGTGCCACAACCAGAAAGGTTCTCCTCCTGGTAGCCACCCACCTCGCTTCCTTTGGAAGGGCTTCTGTGAGAAGGACCCCCAAAGATGACCTTGAGGCCAGGTAGGTGCATATGGGACAAAGCCATCCTTCAGGTAACCTGGGCTCAAGGTTTTGAATGTCGATATTTGCACTTTGAATCAAACCTAGCTGTGCAGAAAAATAAAAAGGCCAAAACCTTTTTATTTAAACAGTATTTTAAGATTTTAACAGCTTTTAAGTTTAGTCGCTCTGTTTTGTGAGTTATTGTTTTGTTCTAGTTATTGAAATCATTGTTTTAATTGTTTTTAAATATTGTAAGCAGTCCTGAGATCTTGTATAATCAGAAGGCATACAAAAGCTTTAAATTTTATTTATTTATTTATTTATTTAGAGTTTTTGTATGCCGGCCCCTATAGCCTCACACAAATAAATAAATATAATACAAATACAGTTAAAACCCAGAAACACCCTGGCTGCACAATTAAAACCTATAAATAGTATACGTTGTTAAAATATTGTTTGAATAAAAAGGTCTTAGCCTGGCGCCGAAAAACAAATAACGATGGCGCCAGGCGGACCTCTCTGGGGAGCGCATTCCACAGATGGGGCGCCACCGCAGAGAAGGCCCTCCTCTGGGTACTTTGTTTCCTGATGTCTCTCCCGGAGGGCTCCCGGAGGAGGGCCTCTGCCGCTGATCTCAAGGGGCGGGAGGGCAAATATGGAAGCAGGCGTTCTTTTAGGTGGATGGATGGATGGATTAAACCAGAAGCCAGTGTGACTGGAAGAGCACTGGCATAAAATGTTCTAACTCGAATTAGTTTAGCATGCCTTGGTAGTCTTTGGAGAGGATTGGTTTATTCTTCTTCCTCTTAAAACTATCGACGACATGCAAAACAAATCCAGGTTTGGTCTCCATTGCCAGTTGGAATGCAGATGGAACGCTTGTCTGATGCACTTTCTGTGATTCGTCTGTGAAGTCCTGAAAAGAGAAGCCATGGCTATTGTTTAAAACACAGCACCTTATTGCAAGGATTACCTAGAGGCCTTTTGGTTGACGACACAGAATCTGGCCAGTAGCTGCTCGCCACAACCTGAGCATTTTCTGCCTGTGTTTTCTCCCTTCCGCTTCCCGGCCCCTTCTCCTACTCCAGGGCATTTACCAAGGTGTTCACTTTTGGTCCAACCTTCCGGGCTGACAATTCGCAAAGTCGCAAGCACTTGGCAGAGTTTTACATGGTGGAAGCCGAGCTGTCGTTTATTGAGAGCCTCCAGGATATCATGCAGGTGAGCCACGGGGTGCGGTGGGGAGGGGGGAGCAGGCAGACTTCAGGTGTGCAGCCGTCTGGGAAGCATCAAAAGCCACCGCTTGCGGACTGATGCAGAGTGCAGGCACTTGGATGGAAGAATTCTGCGCAGGGTAGTTTCTTTTGGGATTCAGAACAGAACAGATCTCCCGGTCCTTCTGTACCAAGGATGAGAGTCCAGTCACCTTTCGATTGACCTGGAATCATTTGGTGTTTTTCCAGTTTTTGTATATTCCCCCCGCCTCGCCAGTTCAGCCTGCCTTGAGATTCCATTCCTGACAATAGAAACATAGAAACAGAGCGAGTCAGGAGGGATCTCCCGGGCCATCTAGTCTGACCTCCGGCTCCAGCTGGCTCTGCTCACGACATGCCCACCATGTACATATCCAACCTATCTTTGAACACCCTCACCGAGGAGGCCTCAGCCACCTCCCGTGAAAGCCCATTCCACACCCTCGGGGTCCTAATCTCCTATACGGCTATTTCCCATCCTGCCTTGAGGAGAACACAGAGGCAAAATGGTCATTTAGCATCTGTGCCTGTTCCCTCATATCAGTCACTGGATCTCCTTCCTCCTTCTTTAGTGGTCCCACCACTTGTCTCCCCTTCCTCTTCCTACTTACATGCTGAAAGAAGCCCTTTTTGTTGCTCTTGATATTCTTGGCAAGTCTCAGCTCGAAATCAGCCTTAGTCTTGCGGAGAATCCTTCTGCAACGGGCCTCCTCCTCCCGGTATACCCTTTTGTCTATTTCCCCCAGTACCCATTTCCTACGGAGGTTCCTCTTTCGTCTAAGCCCTCTAACCACCTCCTTTCGCATCCATGGCGGCACTCTCCTCCGCCTCCCCACCTTACTGACTAGGGGTATCGTCAAGGCTTGCGCCTCCAAAACCTCCCTTTTGAGTGCCAGCCACCCCTCAACTCCCTTGCCTTCCAGTAACAATAAGAGCCTTAAGCTAAACTATGTGCTATGTTTTGGTATTTTGACCTCACTTCCTTTGCCTTCAGCCTTGCCCCCTACTAGAATAAGACTGTCAGGACTTCTCCAAAATTGAATTTGTTCCTCATTCCAATTATACATCTGCTCCTGTTTGCGAGACCTTCATTCCAACAGTATAATTTCTGACCGGGGAAACATTTGTTTTGACGCACATACGGTACGGTGGTTGAAGCGTTGGACTGGGGACCTGGGAGATCCGGGTTCCAGCTGCACTGGCCCATGAAGTTCACTGGGTGAATTTGGGACGATCACTCACTCTCAGCCAATCCTACCTCACAGGGTTGTTGTGAGCATAAAATTGAATGGGGGGCGGGCTGTGGAAGCTGTCCTGGGTTCCTCACAAGAGGAGGTAGGATATAATGATCATGTTGCTATTAATTAACTGGGAGTTAGAAATTCTTGTCGATCTTCCATAAATCATTTTATTTATTTATTTAAAACTTTTTCAGACCACCCTTTACCATGGTCTCGGGAAGACAAAATAGAATAAAACACAGCATCCTAGTCAGATTCTTAACCCATCAACAATAAAACCCATATTAAAATAGTCAAACCTTAAAACATTGGGAAAATATTCTAATACATCATTTGTTATTTATTTATTCCTAATAAAAATAGAAATATCCTAATAAATAAAGAATAAATCCTCTTGTGATCTATCTACTAACACTGAATACCGATACTAATGCTACGAGAGCACCTTCCTTAAGACTACCCTTGAGGGTAAGCAGCGGGCTTGGGTATTTTTCAGCCATTTAGTATTTTATGCATATGCTTTTAAACTTTTTAAAAGGTCTTCTTTTAAAGCAGAAGATCTTCTGTGTCCGTTTTACATGCCTAATCGGCAAATTGCTAGGGGAACTCAAAGGCTGAAGAAGAAGAGGGAGTCCAAATACAAGCTGGGCCGACTCCATCGAGGAAGCCGCAGCCTGGAACTCACAACAGCGGGGCAGGACATTGTGTGGGACTTTCGCTCATAAGTTGGAGAGGAGTTGGCAGCAATGACAGCAGCAATCTGTACGCAGCCGAACCGTTGGGCTCCCGTCCAAGTGTTTCTATATTCCTGGGGATTTATTACACTTCTCTCATCAAATGCCAAGTTCGCACCCAGGGCGGGTTTTGTTTTGCTTTGCTTCTGTCCTGCCTTTTTGCTCTTGCCCAGTGTCCAAGGTAGCTCTCCTTGCTTTCCACGCATTGCTCACAACAACCCTGTGAGGTGGATCAGGCTGAGGGTCCCTAACTGGCCCAGAGCCACCCAGTAGGGCTCCCTGGCCAAGTGGGACTAGAATCCAGATCTGGACCCCTGGCCCAGCGCTCCAACCACTAGGCCACATTGGCCCTCCACTGCCCTGGTTTCCCTGCATAAGCATTGAGCTTCTAATCCTGTCTTACGAGACTGTGGTGTGTGGTTGTGGGTGTGGGTGTGTTCAGAGGAGCTTCGGTGTGAATTTTCATCTAGGTTCCTCTCTGATCTTGGGAAACAGAAACTCTGCTTCTTGAAAACTAATTTTTCAGGAACGGATGTTGCAAGGGAAGACAAGTTTCATCTTTTGCAGCTGCCAGGGAACTGGTAAGATGATGAAAGAGTCTCGTCCACGGGCCGGACTGTAGCGCTCCGTGGTGGAGCCCTTGTTTAGCATGCAGAAGCTTGCAGCCCTGGAACCTCCAGGGGAAAGGATCAGCGGGTAACCTGGGCATCCCCCTCTGTGCCTGAGCCCCTTGAAAGCTGCGGCTGGCCCAGGTGAACAGGAGCAGGGCAGGTAGACAAGCTGCCTGACGTGGCTTTCGCGGGTCTCCCCTTCCTTGCCGGCACAGCTCATCTTACAGATTCGTGTACAGCCGTACATTCTGCCATGCGCAGGCTGAGGGAACTGGGTTTGTCAGGGTGTATTGCATGGAATTTTGTCATGAAATAGCAGGGATTTTAAGAATAAGAGCATGCATGATGTAACAAGATGATGGACGGGTGGAGCGATTCTTTGGGTTTCTAGCTTGGAGGTCAAAAACAAGATTCTGAGTTTGGAGCTGGGGAACTCTCACCCCACTTCACAACCAGAGCAGAAGGAGCCTCAGGGTTGGAAAAGCAACCTCAGAGAAGGGGGGCATTCCAGGGAAGGGCCACCAGGATACAGGTCATCCTGATGTCTCTCCAGCCAACTTGCATCCGCTTCCAAAGTTGGATACCCTAGATCAGCAGAGCTGGAAGTCTCAAGGCATTGCTTCCGCCGCTTTCCCACTCCACATAGGATGCTCCTGGGCCGTGGAGAATTGCACCTAAAGCAACAGAGAAATTCCCAAATTATCATCCTTCGTCCATCACCAAGATGTTCAGGAACATCTCTAGTGAAACAACCTAAGAAGGAGCGTATTCTCAAAGGAAAATCCATGTTATAGTGCACATATAAGAACTATTTACAGGCATGTGTTCTTGTGTGTGTGTTTCCTTGTTGTGGCTGTTAGATGCAGTCAAGTCATCTCCGACTTAAGGCAACCCTATTAATGATCTACCTCCATAATGTCCAACTTGGATAGTCCTGCTCAGCTCTTGGGAACCCAAGACTGGACCTTCCTTGGAGGGGTTGCAAGAACTGGGACTGTTGGGCTTGGAATAAAGGCAAGTCAGGGAGACGAGGCCATGGAATCATAGAATACATAGAAGGGTTTAAGATAATGCTTGGTGTGGAAAACACTCAAATCCAGGGTCATCCCATGAACTGATTGGTGGGAGATTTAGGAAGCATAAAAGCAAGTCCTTCTTCATACAGTTAAACTATGGAATTCAGTGCCATGGGAAGTGGTGACGGCCACCAACCTGGATGGCTTTCCAAAGGGATTGGACAGGCTGATGGAGGAAGAGGCTCTCTGTGGCTACGAGCCTTGCTGGCCAGGTGCCCCCTCCTTCTCCAGAGGCAGCATGTCTGCAGGCGCCCGTTGCTGAGGAGCTGGGCAGAGGAGGCTTCGCACCCATCCTGCTGGAGGGAACCTGTGGGCAGCTGTTTTGCCACCATGTGTATTCCTCACCTGGAATCCTGTGCCCAGTTCTAGGCTGCAAGGTTTAAGAAAGATGCAGATAAATTAGAGAGGGTCCAGCGGAGGGCAACGAAAATGATCCAGGGTTTGGAAACACTGCCCTGTGAGGAGAGACTGGGAGAACTGGGAATGTTCAGCCTCGAGAAGAGAAGACTGAGGGGGGACATGATTTCCCTCCATAAGTACCTCAAAGGCTGTCACAGAGAGGAAGGTGAAGATCTCTTTTTGCTGATAGCGGAGTGTAGGGCACAAAATAGGACCTTCCTTGCAGTGGTGTCCAGACTGTGGAATGTGCTCCCCAGAGAGGTTTGCCTGGCGCCAACCTTACATTCTTTTCAGTGCGAGGTGTAAACCTTTTTATTTGCCCTCCATTTTAAGTGCTAGGAATTTTAATCTGGTTTTAACTATTTACAGTCACTTTTTTAGTTTGCTCCTGTTTTTGATTTTGACTCTGTTTTGATTTTGTCTTCATTTGCAATTTGTTATTGTTGGTTTTATGTATATTTTTAATAATTGTTGGATTGCTTGTTTTGACTTCTGTAAGCCATCCGGAGACGCTTTTGCATATAGGATGGGGTATAATTATTTTAAATAAATAAAAAATATATATCAAGCTCCGACAACCCAGGTTCAGGGTATATATCAGGAAAAGCTTCCTCACTGTCAGAGCAGTACGACAGTGGAACCAGCTTCCTGGAGAGGTGGTGGGCTCTCCCACACGCGAGACATTCAAGGAGAAACCAGACAGCCTTCTGAGTGGGATGGCATAACGTGGTGTCCTGCAACAGCAGGGGGTGGACTAGATGGCCTTCATGGCCCCTTCCCACTCAACTCTTCTAGGATTCTGTGAGTGCTGGATCTGATCCAGCATGGTTTATGTTCTTATCTCCCCTTCCACCATCTTTGACATTCCCTGGCATGAATATCTTCTGCAGTGAATCTTTCTTTCTCA